GGTACAGTACTGATCAGTGTCATCTGTCTTTGTGTGGAAAAAAAATGCTGCTGCCATAGCCCACAGTTTCTATGGAAACCTGTCCGCACCCATCGTGATCTCTATGGTAACTTCATGTTGGCACTCACTGGGTTTGAGAGATAGAAAGATGAGTGGAAGAAGGAGAGTAGGTGACAAATAAGTGAGGGAATGGGACAAACAGCGGGCAAAGGAATGGAAATTAGTTATTAGAAGGAAAACTGTAAAGTTTGATTAGAAAGTTTGCTAAACTATATTTTTTTGTGACAAAGATCTAAAAGTATCTGACTGTTTTCTTTCTTTATTGATTTTAGGTTATAGGATCACATGAGTTGGAAGGGTTGGCAAAGAGAAAGGTTGCTGGTGGTCGACTTTTGTTGTCTTTTTATTTTCTCTTTTTTGTGTCCTGTTTTGCCTATATAGCTCCAGTATAGATGCCCCAGAGCTAGATGATAGCCCAAAAGATTTGCTTTCACAAGCAAACCATGGTACTTGTATATGAGCCTTATTGAAAATTATTTCAGGAGGAAAATCCAACACAACGGAGAGAAAGGGGGATAAGAAAGAAAGAGGGGAAAATAACTGAGGGGAGAAAGAGTGCATGAAAAGAGAAAAATAAAACAAAACAGAAAAAATAAACACGGAAGATATCTATAACTCCTAGTAATCTGCTTCCAAACCTGTATGAGACGAGAGGGACAAAAACCAGAGAAAATCAAAAAAACCTTCTAGATTTAATTAGGCTGAGTCGATTAACATCTGGACAACTCAAAAGTTTGATATTCTATTTCTTATATAGCGTGCCATGACATTTAAATTCAGTAATTTAATTTGTATTGCTTTTGATTGCTCAATGCAAAAAGTGCTGAAAATGAGTTAATCATAACCTACAGTATACAGCAGAGCCTAATATTCAAGTACTTTCATTAGCTTACACAAAAATGTCCAAACTTCAATAACTTTCTGGAAAGCACTTTGTAGGAGATGCCTCAATTTGATAATCAGTGGTGAATTAAGATCTTCTTACATCTCTTCTAAACACAGTATTTATACATGGTCATGTAGCTTAGACATGTTTAATGGCCGTTCTAAAATAAAAATGGCTTGTTTGAAGGGCTCTGTTTCTTTATGTTTTTATGTGCAATTGGCTGATGTCCAAAGTACCTGAGTGCCACGCAGCAATAGAATATGATGGCTTTGAGGGATCTTTCAAAAGCAGCTTAATGGCTGATCCTGTCTTTTGGCACACACACAAACACAGAATGTCATTTTAAATGGAAACATTGCCCGCTCTATGGTAGAATGTCAATACTATAATCTGATTGGTCTAGTTGATGGATAGGTGGTTTGGTTGACCTATCACAGTTAACTTAATTATTTCTCCCACATACTCACCTTTCAGTCCTTCTGTCTGCCTTCTTTTCCCTCTCTGTCTCTTTTAGTCTGTCTCTCTTCCTTTTACCAGATTCTCTCACTCTCTTTCAGTCTCTCATCTTTTATCTCCCATTTCATCCCTTTCACTTACCAAATTATTAGTGCCCCTTATGGATTTCCCCCTTTATGGGTCTGTATGAATGGAATGAAAGGAGAAGGGGAAGCGTGCGTTTGTGTCCGTCAGGCTAAGCTGTTCCTACCAGATGTTTTTCTTTGTTTTATTCTTCTGAGCGCCACACTGTCTGCCTGTCACCAGCAGATACAAGGCCTGGGTGTTTGTATCCATGTGCATTCAAAAAGAGGGAGTGTTATGGAGAGCGTTGGTGACAAGGGAGGATATGTGTTTGTGTGTCTTTGTGAGATTAATTCCTTCCACACCAGCATACTATGTGGTGGAGGGTCATCAGAAAATTTGATGGCTATCAAAAGATCTTATGTGGGCGATTGTGAAATAGACAAACAAAACAAGCCTTGGGATTAAAGTAAAATCTCTCATTTATACCTTTAAATTTTCAATAAAAATATGATCAGGATTAAGTATAAACATTTTTATTTTATGTGCCAAATGCAAACATCCGAAGCACCTGAGTTCTTTAGTGTGTTAGCTAGTGCTTCTGAAAAAGAAAAGAAACAAAAAGAAGCAAATTATATGATCAGGAGCTGCGTTATGCACAGGTCGAAATCCTTCAACATTAATTAATTCACTTTTTATCTGTTGTTCATAATCTCATTTAGCAGTCAACACAAGGCCACTTTGAGTCGGTCCCAAAGCTGCTGTGATAGAGTCATTCTCCATGCTCCAGCAGCTTTGTTTGTTTTCTCTGGAGTTGCTTTAGATTCAGATCAGCCCCAACAACCGATCTCAGTCAACCTTTTGTATACAAATCCATCTTCAACATTGACTTTAAGTTAAGGCTGCTGATTTATTTGTTGACTTTGATTATTAGCCATGATCCTAAAATAACCATCATAACCAATTTAGCAACTTACCAATTAGATTTTGTTTGCCCATTTAAGTACATGAACAGCCTTTTTTTAGATTTAGGAAAATAACTTCTAATGAGGTGTACAGTGGATTAGTTTAACATGACAGTAATATTGTTCATATTTACTCTTGTTTTAGTACTTGAGACTCTATGGATGATTGGATGGGAATAAATTCCGTGTCCTGGTTTGTACCACATTAGGAGTTTGCTGGGCATAATTATCTAGACAGGTGTAGGTAACACAATCAATGCATTAGTAGGAGATCACAAAGGTCCAGCAACAAGTCCACCTTAAACCAAATTAAAGACTCCCTGAGTAAGAAAAATCTTTTTACCAGAAAAAAAAGGACAAATTGAAGCCTAATGGTTGATGAAATAACTAGAGTGAATATATGGGAAACATTTAACAAATGGAGGGAGCTGAGATCTGCACTGGTAAAAAAGATAACTTAAATACCAAAAAGCTCTTCTCAAAATAACTGCTATATTTATAACTTTATCCCCTGAAAAGACAATATGCCTCTAAACAAAAGACCTTAGAAGTTGCCATGGCAGAAGATTTTCTTTCTCCTCTCCTTCCATGTGTGCACAATACCAGTGTCATTTAACTTGTCATCAGAGTTGGCTAACTTCTGCAAAACTCTTGAGTGTGAGCTATGCTCCTTTAAAAGAACTAACATTGACTGGATCTTTAGAATTTGGAGAAAATTCATCACCAAGCTCACTTCTTACCTTGTAGGTTAGACAAACCGATTTAATCATCAGTTATTCAATAGAAAGTTCAATCCAGGACGTGTAATTTTTATAATAACGTGAATGAAATGGTAAATTACCTGTATTTTTATAGCATTTTTTTTCAAGTCAGGAGAATTGACCAAAGTGCTTTACGCTACACTTAGTGATTCACCCATTTACACTCACACTGATGGTGGGAAGCTACATTGTAGCCAAAGCTGCCCTGGGGCTCACTGACAGAGGGCACCACAGTCAGTAGGCAATGCAGGTTAAGTGTCTTGCCCAAGTCGGAGCCAGGGCTTGAACCAACAACCCTCAGATTGAGGGTTGCAAACTCCTGCACCCGGAGCCACTGTCGCCCTGCAACTACAAGGATAATATCTGCTGACTGAATTTCTTGTGGAGGTTGAAATATAATTTTTTGGGCTTTTGTGAACATACAACCAAGCGTTTGTGGTATACCATAGTGCAGCTACCTGTAGCTTTCAAAGGAGCAAAGATAAGTAGCCTTTATAATTTTGTGCCATGAAAACATAGACTTTCTAATCTGTTTTTTTTCTTTTAACAACTTTGCTAGTTTAAAAAAAAAAAAATGCTTTAAGTTATGCTTAGTGTTACGCTTTTTTTTTTTTTCATACTGCTTTTGCAGCGAATGATATTTCGCTATTAGTTCTATTCCTGAGGGGTTTGGAGTCTGTTTGTATAAGAAATGTGTAATTGTTGTTTAGACATCACAACTTAAATACAAAAACAGGGCTATATTCATATGAAAGTATCCCAATATAACACCTACTGTATATTTCAGCTACTTTGTTTTTCTTTTTTTTTTTTTGGAGAAGCTCGGTCCCTCCAGGTTCAGGTCTGGCTAGTCTTTCCCAGGGGATAAGGCTTTAGCCTTTAGGGACGTGGCTGGCCCTCTTTCCTAAACCTCTGGCCTTGTGTGCATTTGTGTCCATGGGAAAAGAGTGGGATTAACAGAGAGGGATCAGGGGCTGAGACGAATGAGCAGATTGACAGATGTAGCCAAATATGTTTGATCATCTGACATAACTAGATATAGTGCATTCATGTTTTAGTCTTCCAGCTCAGAACAGCTATAAAAGAGATCTGACAGATAATTACGTGGATGATGAATTGTTTACAATTTATCCAAATAATCAAAAAAGTCTTATGATCCTACGCTCAGAGAGCCATATGAGGACATTTCTCAGGACCTCGGGCATGAGGTCGACACTGTGACAACAATCTCTGAGGGAATGCTTTGGTAGGAACACTGCTTCTGAATGTCTACGTGTGTGTGTGTGTTCATATGTGCATCAGACGACGGCCATGAGGGACCGGAAGATGGCTGCTCTGATAAAACAATCAAAACGTTTTGATTGTGTACACCACAAGTTAAACAAATACATGTTAACACAAAAAAATAATCAAAGACACACACATTACACATCCATGCAGACAACCAGGAGCTAGATGCAAGATGCATCTTGTGCAGGACTTAGAGGAACAATAAAGATATTGACCAGTTCTCTTGATTCTACATTTTACCACAATGTAATAAAATGATGACATGGAAAAACAAAGCTAGCAATTGGGCATACAGTATATTTTAGGATAGCTACTGTAGGGTACTACAGTGAAGGGAACTACTCAGATTTGAGTGTTTAGGATTTCCTTAATCGAGGAGAGAAATTATTCCTGTAAGAGAGCAGTGATACCTTTAGCAAACGTATTTCCTCTCATTTACTGTTTTCTCATATTCTGTTATCTCCTGCAAAGCTGCTGCTCTGATAAATTAGTGGACCTTGCCTTTTTCTGTGTCCGCAGGAGCGTGTGGAGTACCTGTTCCTAATCATTTTTACGGTGGAGGCGTTTCTCAAGGTAATAGCTTACGGCCTGCTCTTCCATCCCAACGCCTACCTGAGGAACGGCTGGAATCTGCTTGACTTCATCATTGTAGTAGTAGGGTAAGTGCAGAGAATGGTTGAAAAAAACAAAAAAAAACAAAGGTTTATAAGGTGCAGTGGGTTCTGGGTTAGAGTGACTTGCAAATCAGAGCAGTTTCTATATTAAACAAAACACCAATGTTCTGCTCTGACTTTAATTATAAATTTAAGAAACAAAATAGTCTTAGAGTAGCTCTACTACAGAATGCATAGAGACTTCTAAAAGCATTCATCCCTTGAACCTTTTTAATTTTGTCACTCTGAAGCTTAAAACTTCCATAATTTTTGCTAGAATTTCAATTACTAAAAAGTTTATATATATATAATTTTTTTTACAATAAATATTAGAAACTGGTTTACCTATGTTTCTGCTTCGTTTATTCTGATACAACAAATAAACCCCAATTTGGTTTAGTAGTCGAATGCTCCGTTAATGTAAATTATGTCAGTCACAAATGATCTCGATAAAATATGTTGAAGTTTAGTATTATGACTGGCACTATGCAATAAATTTGAACATGCATAAAAAAGTCATTCAATGTTTAATTGCAGTTTTGGCACTGATTTATCACAAAATAATGTATTTTTTAAAATTCTAAAAAAATTTATTTATTTACTTCCACTTCTACAGAGGCTAAATCAATGTTGCCAGCATATGTGTTACTTTTATTAATCTCCAATGTTGGTCATTCAACTTATCATTGAAAGTTTAGATGATATTATCACCCTTTAAAGTGTACGCTGTTCAAACCTTTTTAAATAAGCAGCATTCTTTGTATGCAATAAGTCATATCATAGCTCTAGTCTTTTCTTTTTTGTCTATTCAGATATTTAATATTATTATATGCATAAAAAACATAAGTGCCCAAATTCCAACCAAGAAGGTAAAGTGTAGGGTAAAAGTGTGGGTTTTAAGGCCTTTGACTTTTTATATGTGTTAAAGAAATTACTTCCAACCTTAATTAATATTTGTTTTAAAGAAACTATGATTCCAATATTGGTCAGCATAATTCTGAATAGAATTTTCTCCATAATTAAGCTACTGTTGTAACAAAAGTAAGAAAATCTGAAAGCTAAGATTTTTTTCCCACATTATAAAAATCATTCTAGTATGTTTTTTGTTTGGTAAAGTAAGATTTGTGTGGCTCATTTTGAATGCAGATGAAAGACCAGTACTCAACTTTGGCCTGCAGAGAAATGCTGCAGCTTAAACTGATTAGCTTGTGAGTTGCTGATAGCAAAGCTCTGCTCTGTTTTTTTCCTTTATCTGAAACTCGGCAACAAAGACTATCTGCTAAACCCTCTGCTTCTTTTGTGCATCTGTGTGGGACTTCACGCCAGCTGAGCCAAGTGCATAGTTTTTTCCCGTGCATTACAACCAGTGGACCTGACAGATACATTAAAGCCATAAAAGCGGTCTAATTGAGGGTATACATGTGTGCAAGTGTGTGGGTGTGTTTGTAAGTGGGAGATAGGCAGTGAGGAAGCGGCCTGTGACCTGAGGGGAGGCTTCAACAACACAGATACAAACACTCTAAACCAGTCTTCTTCATTGCCAGTCAACTGTTCCCTCACATTAGGCTTCACTTACTTAACACATTTTGCTCCAGCTCATAAAAACACACACATGCAAAGAACATGGTCCCAGTGCCGCAGGCATAAACACAACCTTTAGCATTTCAGCTATCAACTCTCCTTGCCTGTCCCTCTCGTAGCATATTACCTCTATATTTTTAGGATTTTACTGTAATGCAGCATTTGTTTATATTGCAGTGAGATGTTAAGTGTCTCAGTAAATGGTGATTTCGGCAGCTAAAGGGCGCAGTGTGTTGCAGATTCACTGCTCCAAGAATCCTTGGAAGAAGATTGTGGGTTTGATTCCCGGCCCGGGGTCTTTTTGTGTGGAGTTTACATGTTCTCCCTGAGCATGCGTGGTTTCTCTCCGGGTACACCGGCCTCCTCCCACAGTCCAAAAAATATGACTGTTAGGTTAATTGGCTTCTCTGAATTCTCCTTAGGTATGAATGTGTCCTGTTTGTCTCTTTGTTGCCCTGCGATGGACTAGTGACGTGTCCAGGGTGTACCCCGCCTCTCGCCCATAGACAGCTGGTGATAGGCACCAGCACCCATCGCAACCCCACTTGGGATTAAGCGTGCCAGAAAAAAAATGGATAAATGGTGATTTCCTTGCAACATGGAGCAAATGTGGGCTCCACCTTGAAATTCAGCTGGGACATAGTCAAATTCAGGGACAATTAATAGCTACTAATTTGCTATTCTAGAGTATTTAGCCCATGTATTACTCAGGTTCTTTAAGGTTATGTTTCCTTTAAAGGGGCATAGTCATTTATTATGCCGATTAGATTTAATAAATCTACACACACACCAAGCATTTCTCGTTGTAGTGTTTTAGTCCTTATTGAGCCTTAAAATCATTTTGATCAGCAGACATCTATATGGCTGTGTGCCCTCTGCTGGCAGCACATCATCACGCATCCATCAACAAAGCAGCAGAATCTGAATGTTTCCTCAGGTTTAGCCCTCGATTCGGCAAACACCAACGTTCATATTGTATTCTGAGTGCTACCCATGTCTTGTCACTCTTTACACCAAATTATTTTGTGTGCATGTTTAACACTTTAAATTTTCCATATTCCTTTTTACATTTATGCTGGAAGTTGACTTATTTGACTCCATTTCTTCCTTGTTTGCTCATTTTGCGCGCTCACAGTATCCTACCTCCGGTGCACGTAGTTTTGTTTTGGTTGATATAGACCAAACTCTAAGCTTACTAAACAATATAGAAAAAATAAGGGGCAAAATTCTGAAATTAAACATATAATAAGCCAACAGGGCAAGATAATTTCTTTGGAAAGTGAAATTAAGTTTGCAAAAAAAATCTCAAAAAGCTACACATCCTTCTTCTGATCTGTAAAACCTATGGGGCGTTTACACCGAATGTGTTTTGGGCATCAAAAAATGCTTAAACTCTGAAATTGGGACACTGGATCAAACTGTCTGGATGCTCAGCTTTATCTATTTACCCCTGTTCTGTAGGTTCAGGCTAGACAGCAGCTTGGCTTTATTTACTTTTATGAATTGGAAAAATTGTTTCAGCACGTTTTTAAGCAAAAAAATCCCCTCTAAAACATCATCTGTGCAGTCAGTTCATCAGGATTATGATTCTTCTAAAATATAGTTCTTGTTCGTAGCTGCAGACCTCAAGGATACCGTTGAAAAGCTCTCTGCTGAATCCAGTTTGTGGGGGATTTCCTGCTGGTTCATAGCGGCACGAAGTGAATATAAAGAGTATTTAAGGTTTGTGGTACAAACTCCAAGTACCAGAATATACAATTGAAGATTTTTTTTGACAAGTTTTCACATTTTTAGTTAATTTGGGTATTTATTAACTGTTCTACCATAGTTCATAATTAAAGGCTTTGGCAGCGATAATGAAAAGCTTGTTCTCTTTTCCTTGTAGCATACATAACAAATCATTCTCACGGCTTTATTTTATTTATTATTATTGCAGTTTAACCCCTTGACGTTTATTTATTTTTCATATACAGAATGCTTGCCGAACGATAAAAGCTTGTCTGTCTGTGTCTGTCTCCTCCCCAAAAAATCTCCTGGAACAGCTTTTTTTTTTGGTCGATGCTCTGGTGTCCAGTGGCAAAAGTTCAATGTTCTGAACTTCAGCATCAAGCACTTGGATGCTCGGATGCCAGAATGCTTGGATACACCGCTATCTATGCTCAGACCTGTCGCCTCTTGACGCCATTCCCTATAGAGTTTACATTTATATCGGACGTGTCAACGCCCAAAACGCATTTGGTGTGAACGCATCATTAAAGATCGATAAGGAAGATAACAAAAAAAGTCAATGACATTTAACATTTATGAATAAAGGTATTCTACAGTGATCACCACTAAAAGTTATTTAAATCATGCATTCCTAATCAGTTTGAAAAAAAAAGTCTGTTTTTTGGTAAATCTCATATGTTTAATTTGATGCACTCCTGACCATCACATTTAGAGAGAACACCATTGGTCTGGCTGTGTAATCAAGATCATTTTGAGATCAGATCATAAGATGCTGAAAGAAGTCTGTAAAACCAAGCATTCCTATTGTAAAAACAGCATGTTTCTGCTACAGTTATTAGCAAATTATAGTCTTTCAATCACAAAGAGAGTACTTTAACATTAAAAAGATGTGCAAGGACAGCACATTTAAGACAAACATCAAGGCCAGAGTAAAGTATGAGGCAACATGACAAGCACCATGGTATAAATGTTTTTTTTTTTTTTTTCAACAAATGATACTACTAATGAATTGTGTGATTACCAGAACAGGGGAAATATTTGGTATAAACCAGATAAAAAGATCTCAAAACCATGAAACATAGAGGTGGATGTGTCATAGTGTGGAGATGGCTATCTGAGGATCTTAACTGTTGACCCATCCAGATTCTATCATGCATTCTACAGAAGCTTAAAAAGATGTTGTAGCAAAATGTTTAATCAGAAGCAGGAAATAGACCTTGCATCAAGACCGTAACCCAAAACATAACAGTTGATACATATAGGACAGGCTAAGCATAACAAAAATGCTCTGAACAGAATCAAAACTAAGGTCTGATTGTCATTGAGAGTCTGTGTGGTCAAATGGAAATTTCAAAGCTGATGGTAGAAAAAGGGGCTCATTTGCCACAGACCAACGTCTGGATATCAAAGCTGCCTCCAAAAAGCTCAATTGGAGTTATTTCAGCCCAAAGAGCATAATACTTGTTGAGAAAGTCACTTTTTAATACAGTTTTGCAGATATATTTTGCTTGATTAAAGAAAATAAGCATTTTTCTGGAATTTAAAAGTTATTTAAAAACAACAACTAAGAAAAACAAAAATGGTTAAAATATCAATACTTCTAAAAAGATCATTCAGAATTTAACGATGTGCCTTCATTTTATTTTTTGTGACTAAATGTCATTAAGATATTGTCACAAAAATATCCTAAAATGTTCTAATGGAAAACCACTTGAACTAAATTGTTGTGAAAAACAGACAAGTAGATACACTCAGTGTAGAAATGTTCAGCTGTGACAGCACTGCCTCCTTTTACGTGCATGGCTAAGCGCTCATCCTCCTGTATGTGCATGTTTAACTGCCAGTGTGTGCCTCTACATGTGTGTTGGTGTGTGCGGGTACAGATGAGAAGCGACAAGAGTTCACTCCCTCTGGAATATTCACCATATGGGTGAAAGAGCTTGTACTTGGTGCATAGCAGCCTGGGGACTCGGGCACCAGCTAACACAAGCATGCACACACATGCACGACACGCAGATGCTACAGGCCACATTGCTGCTGACACATACCTATGAGGTGATTAGTGAAGGTTTGTGTAAGTGTGTGTAAATGAACAGGTAGTCTGACTTTTTACTTCAGGACATGCCTTTCATGAGCTGCCGTATTTTTTCCTTCTTATTTTGAGAAGGTTTATGCTTTCTCATAAATGAGTTGACCTTTTAAAACATTACAACTACCTGCAGGTAAACTGTGTTACACTACTTGGACTGGCAGAGAGCACTTTCTGTTTGGAAAATATGTAATGTACTACAATTGTTTGTTTTTTATGTTTCCGGCTTCATTCTCAAATCATGTTGTGGAATAATAATCTAATAGTTAATTTGAAACTTCTTTAGATATAAGACAACATAATAATGAGCTAATGTTGCTATTAAAGCAAGCTATACTAAGCAAGCAGTGCCACAGGCTGATTACCTTCACATCGATCTGTATTGAGGCAATAATGAGAAAACAGGGCGGAATACATCGGCTGTACAGTTCAAGGACACATTTCATATGACTCATATGACCAAAAAGAAAAAAAAAAAGAAAAATTAAACTATCTTGAAAAAAGTTCACTCTAGGGAACTGGACGTGAAGGTTTTTAGAAAACCTTGTATCTCCCATCCAAGAGGCTTCTTCAAATATAACTAGTGGCGGGGAGCACTGACATTTATATAGTGTAGGTCTAATAAAGAATTAGAAAAGGTGGAAAAGGGGGACAGGAACCACTTGGAAACGGGGGGGACAAAAGGTGGCTTTGATCCCTCCCACTGAATTGGCCAAAGAGGACACATGAGGGGTGTTAACGGTCGTTAGGGGGTCCTGATGGGTAGTAAACTGCCTCATCACAGTGGTTTCGGTCACATCCCTCATCTGAGTGTGGGTCAAGTGAGGGCGGGTGGAAGGGGAATCTCCCGAGTATTGTTCCTAAAAGTGCTCCAGGTCAAGATCGAGTGTGACTTGGATGACTGAGAATCTTCACATAAAATGAAGCTAAAACTATTAAACTTTACGGGTCTAATTAATGCCGAAGCATCTGTATGACTTGGTTCAGTTGTGTTTTGCACAAATTGATACAGATTATTTGATCTCCCTTCCATGTTTAAAAATTGCTAAAAAAAAAACAGTTATCAAAAGAATAAAGTATGCATACTAATATTCTGCAAGATAAATATATACTTTTGAAATACAAAGCAGAGTCTCATAATTGATCCCAGAGTTTCACATTACAAACTTTAATTTTGATAAGAGAAAATGTTAATCTGTTGTTCAAAGGGTAAATAATTAAATGGTTTGCTAAACTAGGTGAGATTATTTTTAATGCTACAGATTATTCAACATTTTACTTCCTCATAGTGTTTCATTTTTAATCAGAATCGTATCTCACTAGTTGTCTATGAATGTACAGAGCTGATCTGATGTTTGGTTGTGGATGCATATAGGCCTTTAAGTGCTGCTACACAAACACTAATTAATTATTAAATGAAATGCTGGTGGTGTTAACTTGTTGATCCCAGACGTGCTTGTCAGACCAGGAAAAAAAAGCTGTGCTTCTCAACCAGACATAGAGTTAATCAAATAGAGAGGCTGAGAGAGAAAAGCGGAGAGGGCGACATGTTTTGAGAGGCCCTTTCAAGTGGCCATTTCATCTCTGCTAATTGTTAATTCTCCATGACTTCCACACTAGTGACTGGCCTTTGAGCTGAGCTAGCTACTGTTTTCTAAAGGCTGTTAGAAGCAGAATTAGGGGAAAAGAAAAGACTGGGAATGGTATGCGCTCATCCTAATGTACGTTAATTTAAGCTCATCATTCATTAGGTCTAAGGACACATAGCTAAATCTAAACAACATGGATAATAGTTGCTAAAAGATTAAAGGACAACAGCTACTTATTGGAAATTATATCTGTGCTTTTATGATTACAAAGGTTGCAGTATATGCATTATGTCTGGACACCTACAGTAAAGAACAAACACTGATGTTTTTCCTTTTCTTTAAAAAGACTTAGCTTGTCAAAAGTGCAGCAGTCATTAACTTCTTAATCTGGCTTCAAAAGGTTGTTTCTTCTCATTTCACTTAAACTTATAGCTCTTCCATTATATAATAATGTAGGCTACACATGCTATAGTATGATTCATAAAATTATGTATGTTGCTATATTTCAGAGTACTGTCAGAAATCATTAGTGTTTTTTATTCTACTTTTCATTAAAAAAAATGATTCATTTTAAAAATTATGTTTGTACACCCTTAGTTTATCCTTAATGCTGAAAATAGTTTAATGATCTGGTTAAAGGTTTAATTGGGACAAAAGCAAAAACAGATGTTGGGGTAGACGCATTTTCACAGCAGTGTAATTATGTATATTAACATAAATTTTATCAATGTACAATAGCAAGGAATTAAAAAGGATTCTCAGATAAGTCATTAATTCGGAATTATAATATTTGGATTTGATATTTTCAAGGAAAAATAAAACATCTAATTTATTAGATGTATTATTTTTTATCTATAAAACACCTTTTACAGATAAAAGTAACACAATGCTTCAGACAACTTTACAGTACAGCACATTTTAAAGCATGATTTTAAAGGCAACATATTTTTAAATTAAATTATACTAAAAAAATGATTTATTCCTATTAAGGTGCACATATAATATAAACACATACAAGATGATTCTACCATTAAAATAAAAAAATAAAAGATTTCCATTTTGATAGCATTAATTGGCCAATTTTTTCACATTAAAAATTATGACCGCAAGCCTGTATTCTTCTTTAACACATTTGAATATGTGAATATTTAAATTCATTTTTAAGGAAACAAAAAAAAGAGATTCAAGTTATATGACCAAGAAATAAAACTGAAGACCTTTGAGAATAATGGTGATTAATAAATTAGGAAATCCCCACA